TGAGGCTCAGGTGAGCAGAAGCAGCAGAGAATTCCCACAGGTGGACACTGCAAGAAGCAGCTGTAGAGTCACCATGGACTGGGGCACTGCACTCACAGTGGAGACAGCAAGAAGGGAAATCTCTGATTGAGACTGGTGCCTCTCACCTGATCTTTGCTGGAGGTCCCACTCCAGGCACAAAGGTGGTCAGATCAGTCCTCAGAAGGAGCAGGTCCAGCCTTGTTACCTGGTGCTGCTTTGCATCCTCCCACATGAACAACACCCAACACCTGCCTCTGCTCTCAGTACACATTAAGAAAGGAAGCAGTACACATTCCACAGTGCTGTGTTACAGCCTCCAAACACTTCAGTACCCAAACCACTACCACAGTTGAGACCTTGATGATCCTCTAGTTGAAAAATGAGAATGCCAAAAATCTTGATGTTGCATTTCAACAGCTGAATGCTTGGGCATTAAAGTGTATTAAAACAAAAATATTTGCCTTTTGCCTCTTCCTACATGAGCTGTAGCTGTTACAAATTCAGTGCTGGAGAGCCTGTCCCACTCACTGCTTCCCAGGCAGTCTGACAAAGGCAGCTGGAATAGCCTTTGCTCAACCAGCTCAGCTTCAGCTCTGTCACAGAGCTCACTGCTCCACTCAGGGATCTCTGTGCTCTCTCTGCTTTACAGACCTGCTGCAGCAGCATCCCTGGCTGGCTGGAGCCTGTGTCCCAGCTCCTGCAGCACCTCTTCTCCATCCCAGCCAAAGGCAAGGTGACAGCTTACCACCAGTGCACATGGTGCTCAGTGTTCTCCAATTTTGCTGCATTTGTTTGAAATCCTCCTGATACGAACCCATATCCAAACTCTCCCAAATGTCAAGGGAATTCACACTGCAGCTGACCCTCCACAGCTAAGGCAACCCCCAGGGTTAGAAACCTGTCACAGGAAGTAGAATGTAGCATCAGATGTTGAATTTCCAGCTCTCTACCACACATAACAGCAGCAAGCACAGCATATAGATCAAGAGGTCTCTCAATCACATGGTTTATGCTTTGAATTGCTAATTTCCTCCTAAACATACTTTTCTGAAACTTTCCACTTCAGATCTTGGCCTATAAGGAAAAAAATATGGGAACATCTTGAAGCAAGGCAGCTCAGCTCAGTCTTCATCCCATGAGGAGAGTGGAAATACAAACATGTTCCCTGCTGCTGGAAATGTTAATGAGTTTGTTGTTGTTTAACTTACTGTACAGAGAAGTAATAACATTTTAGCTCAGCATGTTCAGTGTCCTTTAAGGGGAAAGGTGGGAGGCTTGTGGATATTTCGGAGTTCAGCTCCCATGTAGATGTTAACAAAGGCAGCATTCCCAGGCTGACAGACAGCAGGACGCCCTCGACAGCTTAAAAACACATCCTGTTTCAGCAAAAATTGTTTTCTGCACTTGTAAGTAAATAATTTAAGCCTGAGATCATGGGCCAGATGACCTACTTCCCAAGACCCCACTGGTCAAGGTTTGGTGAGAGAGAAGCAACCTTTGTCCCACTGGGATCAACACAAAAACAACACAGTTCCCTCTCAGAGCACAGGCCCTGAATCTCCATCCTTTTACAAAGCCAGAATAGATACCCAAACACACTCCCACAAAAAATCATCCCAACATTCTCCTGGTTGTTATGTGCTCCTGAGTACACTGAAAGGGGACTATCAGCAATCTTCCACATGTGGGAGCATTTCCAACCCCATCATCTGAGGGCTAAAAATCCCAGAAACCAAAGCTGCCACTGGGCTTCACACTGCACTTCCACCAAAGAACCAGGTCCCCTTTATTAATTAAAATGAAGAGTGCTTCAATTAAGCACCTGTCCATAAGAATTACCATAAAACCTTTGCTGTATCTGGTAGTGAGCAAGCAGCACAGAAGATGTTATTCACTGAGGGTGAGTGAAATGGGGACTCTCACATCTGATGAGCTCCTTTCTTAAATGGCCACTTGGACTTTGAGCTCATAACCAAAATGTCATTTTAATTCAATGGATAAACAGGTGCCACACGTCTTAATAAGGAAGCAGCATCCTTTGCCCTGGCTCACTCACTCCCCATTTTCCCAACAGAATACACACATTCACAAAATCTCAACCTGAAAAATTTCACCAGTTGGCTTTGCACTAGGAAACTGTGATGATGATGTCCCCACCTCACCAGGTGAGTGTGGGTGTATGCCCACAACATGGTCATGCAGAACTGACTAGCCCTCTCTCTGCTCAAAAATAACTTACGGGATTTTTTTAAGGAAGATTGAAAAACCTAAATTTCTTGTGCATGTCGTTTCAGACTCCCAGCTGGGTTCTAAGTTGTCCTCTCTGAAGCTCACTTTTCCTAGGAACTCTCTCCATCTCTTAGCAGATTAAAGTACTGAAATAATGACTCAAGCAGGCAGAGGAGCCAGCTGTGAGCCCACAGCCCTGCAGTGCTGGACACAGAGAGGCTGCTGCCTGATAGACCTGGCACACAGAAGGAGCAGGAGAAGGGCAAGCAGCAACCTCCCAGAAGGAACAGCAGAACGGGGTGAAATCTCTTGCTTAATGACTGAAACAAGGTTGCACCAAGCATAAAAATTGAATGCATTCCTTCAGAAACATGGCACCTGAAACCTGCCAATTTAAACCAGTAAAAACCTCAAGCCTTGCCTTTGCCTTCCTCCTCTAAGCACCTGAACTTTCCCTTCCCTGCTGCTGGAAGCAGCAAACAAGTTTTGCTGCATTGTGAAAAGCACATCACCCATTTGCCACGCTGTGTAAATGATCAGCAACAGTGGGAAGAGCACACCCACACTCAGTTATGATGGCCAAGGTAATGCTGCTGACTCCTGGCTTCCTTGGCACTTTGCTTCTCATTCTCACTGTAAAGCTGGCACCAAACTCAACACTCTGCCTTGCCCCCAAGGTCATCTTTGTTATAAACTCCCTGCCAAAGCACAAGGCTCTCTGGCCTTCTGAGGCCATGAATTAAATGACCAGGCTGTGTGCCCCATGGAGTCACATTTCCTTTCCCTACTTGAGATGTATCAGAGTGACCTTATTCCTATGCAAAGGGAAACAGCAAAGGAAAATGGGAGCTATTTTGGCTCAATTCTGAAAAGATCAATTTCATCTTTATACACCTATGAAAATGAGACTTCTTTAAGGACTGAATTCTTTCTGGTCAGCATGTCTTATTTCATGAGACTCATAATTCCCCTTTTATGCTTTTATCATAGACATCCAGACTTAAGTGAAAGCCTTGAATATATTTCTCAAAACATGATTATATTCAGAAATTCACCATGTCTCCAGAACTCAGGACTTTTGTTTGAGCCCATTCATTTAATCCTTTTCCTGTCTCACTTTGTTTAGTTTTGCCAAGAGCCACTCCAACCTGAGCAGCCCCATTCACAGTTACAGTGCTGGCCAGATTTAGAGAGCAGCATTGATCTGTCTCGGGTATTAATCCAGAAACATGGTCTTCATCTCATCTCAGCTCCTTCAGCTGCCAGAGAGGACCTGAACACAGCATCCCATCACAGCGCCCACTCCAACACTTCCCCTCCCAGCTCTCCAGGCACCCACGTTCCTGGACACTGCTGCAAAATGAGACTGCTCCAGTTCCTTTCCAGAGTGCCACCACATCCTTGCTGTCTCCAGAACGCTGCCTGGACAACTCCCCCAGCAGCAGAGAAAGCAGCTTTCAGCACGGGGAGCTGGCAGGGGAGGGTGTGAGATGGCACCAGAGCCATGGCAGGCACACGAGCCACACACGGGTGCCAGGAGAATGGAAACCCTCCCAGCACAGCTGAACCTTGTGGCTGGGACCTCACACAGCTTCCTCAACAAGGGCACTGTGGTCAGGCAGGAAAGGCCATTAATGAGAACAATCAAGTGAGAGCTCTCACAGGTCCAAGACAGAGGTGAGCAGCAGCAGGAGAGGTTTGAGGGACCTTGGATTAGGGAACAACAAGGAAAACAAACTGACAAAAATATTAGTGGACTTTTTTTTTTTCCAGCACTAAAACCCAAAATACAAACAAACATTGGTTTCTCACAGAGAAACCATGGCATTCAAGGGTGTGAGAGTAATTGCTCTGCACCCCTGTCACTGCACATGGGCAATCTCAGCATCAAAAGCCCATAAATACAACGCTGGCACTTCCACCAATGGACCTCCACAGCTGTGATGCTGTGCTGGAGGGAAGGCTGAAGGATACAGGCTGGACTGGGGACCTGTAATAATCTGTGGCACTTAATCTTGAGAAACCACAGCCCAGGCTGTCCTGTCTGGCAGGGAGAGGGAGGCAGAGTGCTGAGCCCTGGGGAGCAGGAAAGGTCCTGTGCTTCCTGCAGGCAATCCTGCAGTCGGTCAGGGCTGCCTGCATCCAAGGGAAGGTCAGTGGTGGCAATAGAAGCCCTTGAGAGGGGAGGAGGAGGAGGAAAGATGAGTGAAAGGAGCTGGGGAGCAGCTGGGGGAGGGGAGAGCGGACACATAAAGGAGCAAGGCTGGACCGTGTAAGGTAGTGAATGGAAAGGGCAGACCTAGGACTGTGGGCTGATCCTTGCTTACTACGTGAGGAATCTTTGGGTCCCTGCCTTGCCCTGCTGCCTGATCCTCCCAGGAAGATGCTAGAAGGCCACCATGCACCCTGCCCGGAGCAGCCCTTCAGCCCAGGCAGAAACACTGCCAGGGTAAATAAGCCTTCAGTGTGAAACCGGGATGCTGGAGACTGCTGTTTGCCTCGGGAATCCGCATCCCTAGCCGGTGCCTAGCCTCTCCCTGGTGGAAATGGTTTTGGCCACCTCTCTTGCTCTCACCCTGACACCCTTCTTTTCTTCTCTCAAGTTTCCTCACCCGCACATGCATGGGCAGCGCTGCTGCCAAGGGACACCCCCAAAGAGCGCATTTCCGAGCTTAAACCGTCTATCCAAATTCTCCCCTTTTCCAGCCCAGCCAGGATCTGAGTGGGAAACAAATTTTGTCATGGCCTACCTTCCGAGTCCGCCAGGTGTGAGGCGCGGGGGCAGCGGGCAGCGGGGAGAGGGGCTGTGCGTGTGAATCAGCAGAGGAGTCCCTGTGCCAGGGATGCATGCTGAGCCTCAGCACCGCTGCCTCTCCTCCTCCACCGCCCCGGCTGCTGTGTTGCTATGCGATCACATCACCACGAGCAGCATCTCGCCGAGCCTCCAAAGAGATCCCCTTGACTCGGCAAAACACAGCGGGGAACAAGGACGAGCCCACCAAGTGCCCGGCCCTTGGGAGAGCTCGGCCGGCGATGGATCCGGAGGAGGGAGGGAGGGAGAAGAGTGGAGATGCAAAGACAGGCACGCACGGGAGGAGGAGACAAAATACACATGGAGAGGGGGAAAGGGAGGAGGGGAGATGTACAAACACACAGAAAGCGCCGTGGTCTGACCTCTGGAGACCTGCCACGGGCTGCCGGGCTCAGCCACGCTTCCCTCTGCTCGCCGACATCTCCCACCGCCTCTCGGGGCTGGCGTCTCTCATTTTAGGTTGGATATGGCCACGCGTGTGCTGGAAAATGCCAGACACGTTCGCCTCCTTCCTTAACCACAATTTGGGTATCTGACACAAGACTTTATAATTTAAGAATAGCCCGTTTCAAAATTAAAGGAGCAAAAATAGGATTATCACTTCATTTCGGATGTGCTTCCCAATTTTTCTTAGAAAAGAAAAATAAGTAAAAGAAGGAGGCAATTCTCCAGGCTGGGGAGATCTTTTAAATGTCAGGGTATCTTGCCTCAGCTCACACGAAACAGGAGGATTTGAGCTGCTAGCTTGGATGAGGACATGGACACAGAGTTGGGATTTTGGTCCACAGATAACAGTTTACGGTTCTTCAGATCATTCCATCTAAGGATTTCAAACTGCTCAAGTCACCGAGTGATGTTATTTTCATATAACACAAAAAGAAAGAGAATTAAATTACTTGGTGAGAAAGAGGATTCAAATGTAATCCCAGCTCTGTGTTTTAAGCACAAGACTGTCTCAGCCTTTCCATGGGAAAATTAAAACTTGGGAAATACAATCTTCCTGGTCCTTGTCAGAGTGGTCTTTCATGAGTCTTAGCCCTTTTTTTTCCCCAGAGCTGACAGACTAAATATGTTATTTTTCTGCTGACACAGTCACGTTACCCAGAAATATCAGTGGTGTTTGTAAACATTTTCCATTTCTATACATTTATTCCCCATCTCAGGTGCATCCCAAAATCCAGGTTCACTTGGCTCACTCAGACCCATCAAATGTAACAGCTTCACAACTCCACAACATTCCTGAAAAATCACTTCTGGCCAAGCCAGTGATGGAAATAACAAGTGACAAACTCTCTGCAGCATCACAAGGCTTCCTGTGGGTTTAAGGACGATGGTGCTGCACAGAGGGACAGTGCCCAACCCACCCCTGGGCTGGCCCCAGCAGGGTGGGGAGCCCACAACCTCCTTCCAGCCAGTTTGGGCACCTTACAGAGCAAAACTTTGATCCCACACCATGGGGATGTGAATGGATCAAAAGCTTTTCTAAGTCACCAATTTAAACACGGAGGTTTAAAACTCAAAATATAGTTGATCTTGTGTAAAACATGTTTGAGAGAGTCCTCAAGAAACCAGTGAGCTCCTTGTGATGGTACCAGCTAGAACCTGCAGCAGGTGGGTGACCAACCCTAAGTTCTCCTTTCATTCTAGACAGGTGCACCAGGAGTCAGAAGCAGAGCAGTGAAACACAAAACTCATGTAACTACACTGGAAGGAGATTTTAAAATAGAAACCTCCTTATAGCTGGTTCCAAAAGGAGCAACACTGAATACTTTGAGTACCAACCCAAGAATTACTTATTCACTCCACACCTTCTACTCTTAAAAGCTTCTTCAATAGCTTCTGCTTCCACAACAGCTGTACTGATGCAACAAAATCCCTCCTGGAAAGCTGTATTTAGACCAAAGAAAACAGATATGGATCAGAAGACAAAAATGAGCAGAGACTCTGCTGGGCTATTTTTGTGCACACACACAAATAATAAATCTTGGGTTAAATAAGGAGAGCGAGGGGGAAAATAACAGCAGAGTCTGGAAGGGCTGTCCAGACAGCTCCAAAGACACCATTTTCCAGAGAGACACAACCAAATCCGATAGCAGCATGTATCTGTCACCACCAGCATCTGTAAGGGACATGACAACATGGATAAACATATCAAGTCAAGTTACACATGCACTCAGCACAGAAGCATGAACAGACAGCATGAACCACAAAAGCAAGGTGCTTTGCAGTACAAGCATCCTAAATTATTGATTGTTTAAATGCAGTAGAGAAAAAAAAAATCTCTTGTGTCAGTTTAGTTTAAATTATGAGGCGAACCAGAATGTCTGCTGGGAGGGTTGCTTCCAGGGCTGGGAACATCTTCCCAAGTCCTCCAATACTTTCTGTTTTAAGGATATAATTAGGGCAAAAAAAGGAGGAATCCAGAACTCAAAGGGAACGAGGGAGACCAACTCGGATGTGTCATAATCGCAGTTTTCACATAAGCACTACAACTTTTTTAAGTGTATGGGAAGGTTTCTGAGATGAGAGGCTAAATTTGGTATGCTATGAGTTCTGAAGAGAATTTAAGCCAAAAAAATCTCCCAAGGAACTCCAAGAGCTAAGCTTCCAGAAGATAACACTTCATATATTCCCCTAATGAAACATTTCAGACTTTTTTTATGTTTTATGAAACGGCAAACACATACCTTGTTAGGAAAACTAACAACGTCCACCTTCCCAACAGGGACATCTCAATATGCACAGTGCTAAATACAGTGTACAATCATACAAGAGGTAAAAAGTGGGACAGGTTTTATAAGGCTTGGACATAAAATTGGCATATATATAGAGACACACACACTGACAGTATTTTTAGTTTGAAAGTTTTAAAAGCTAAGAAATAAGGGCTGTGTTTACTTTCAGCCTAAATTCTGTATTATTTTCTCCCTATACAAAGCCATTATTATTAATCACTTGTAAGCTGGAATATCCATCACACTAATTATTCTTGCGTTACCAACCAAATAAAAACATTACATAAAATTCTGGCATTTTCAACATAAAACTTCAGGGCTCAATATAATTAAAGGCTATTATTTTTACATTTTTCTTCCCATAAGTTCCCACCAATTAACTTTATCTTCTAAAATAGTCCCTGTCACAGAGAATTGGTTCCCAAAACGTGCAGCCTCTCTTCCCTCCTTTGAAACATCACATCTCCTGAAAGAGCAAGTTCATCCCTCTGGTACAGAAGAGGAAGTATTGTAAGCATCCTTTGGAAACTTTGGTATATTCTTTCCCTTTTGGAGTAAAGCTCATATTTATCCATTTATCCCAGTTAAAGTGTTTTAGAGAACAATGCTTTACCCAGCAACAGAATGTAGACTTATCCTTGTTAACAGGAGGATACAGCAGACACCAAGAGCAGCACTTTCCCTAGAGCCATACACCCACAGTCCTTGCGGATCCATCTGCCGAAGAGGAGCTCAGAGAAAGGCTTGTGAGCCAGGACAAGGTCCCTTATGGCTTGGAGAAATTCAGTTTCTCCCCAAGAGCCTACAAATCCCAATCTTCCTGAGACGAGGCTCCCTCACCTGGGTCTCATCCAAATTAAAGCATCAGAGGGGACTGGGTTCTCTCACAGCTGCCCACATCCAAAGAGCTGTACCTGTTTTGATTCAGGATCATTGATCTCAGTGGTTGTGCTGCTCCTGCCTGGGGAGGGAAAGCCAGAGGAGCAGGTCATGCACAAAGGGACAGACCTGCCCATCAATTCCAGTACATTAGACAGGCCAGCAGGCTTGGGAGCAGAGCACAAACAGCCCCTCTTCAACAAGAATTAACAAAACTAGAATTAGGGCCCTAAGAAAATTATTTAGTTGACTGGATATGGTACCATCCTGGGGGGCTTTTTTGTTTGTTTTGTTTAAATAACTGATATCAAATAAATAACTGTACTTCTTTTGCTAGCATCAATCAGCAGAAAAACCTTCCCAGAGCAGATTCTACCCTGCTGAAAACATTTAGAAAAGCAGCAGGGTACTTTCTAAACACATGGTACCTGGGGTGAGAGAGAAGAATGGGCAGAGAACTGATACAAGCAGACAGCTGCCATGCACTCAGAAACAGAATTAATCCCTCTCTTCATTTGTTCCCACACAGGCCTTGAAACAATTTCCTCAAAATGAGAAATAGAGTCTATAGGGGAGGAAGGAAATCTTTTCAGAGCAGCGAGTGCCAAAAGAAAGAGGGGTGGGTAACAAAAGAGTGTAAAAGAAGTTGGGGAAAGAGATGGAGAAAAAAAGAGAAAGGAGAAAATGGTAGAAAAGAAAGCAAGAGCATACAGGAGAGGAGGGCAAGGCACACAAGGCAGATTTCAGCGGCTGTTTTGTTCCTCAAAAGCTGCCAACACGTTTACAATGTGCTCTCCGTCCCCCTCCTTATTTACTGGGTGGTGCACTCAAAGGAGCAGGAAAGAAATCCACAGGAGCTGCTGAAGATTCAGTTGGACACAGAACAGAGGTGCCCTAAGAGAAAGCAAACTGCTTAGTGATCCGTGCACAACAAACCACGATGGGGATGTTACAGGCCCAGAGACCTGAGAGAGGGCTGGGAGGAAACCTGCAGAGAGCAGCCTCTTCCTGCAGAGATGGCACTCACAGGCAGCACAGACACTGGAGCAGTGCAAGTCAGACTGCATGGGGATACAGCTGCACATAAAAATATATGTTCACAGCAGAAGCTTATCCCTGAATTCTTCAAAGGAAGAGCCCAAAGGATTTGGGCAGAGTGTAAAATCTGTTGCAATTTGCAGCCTAAACCCAGTGCCTGAAGCTCAGCCACGTTACAGTGACTTAAATATCCCATGACTGAGCCAGTGCTGGAACAGCCCATCCTGTGTCACGTTTCTGGCAGGTACCACAGCTTGCCTGATGCATGTTCACTCATTAAACTGCAGAATGGGATCACGCCTCAGCCTACAGATTTCTAAACACTCTCAAGGTTAAAATGGTATTTAGAGCCTGTGTAGGTACCTGCATCTTTTTTTCTTTTTGAAGATCAACTGTTTTGATTTCTACATTTGTGCAAGGGCAAGCCTGGAGATTAAAGCCTTTAAAAAAAAAATCTTACCCTCTGTTATGCAGACTTTTTACTCCTACAAGACAGGAAGCTGAGAGGCAGAGAGGCATCCTCACAAAGGTACACACCTTGCAGAACGTTATTTATGTATTTCAACACCTCCCTTGCCAACTATAATTACTTGGACAGGTCTAACAGATACATACAGTTCTCTCAGGAATCCTGTGCCCAAAACCACATCACCAAATGCTAAGGACATAAAAGGAATTCTTGGTCAAAAGCAAGGTTTGGTGGCATCCAGCCTTCATCAGACCACAATTGTTGCTTCCATTTTAAAAAGCAGAGCCATAATGAGGGAAACCCATTGATACAACATAAATAATCTTTCCTGGAAGAAAATACTTGAAGACTTTGTTCTTTCAAGATATTCATCATCCAGAGCAAGCTTTTTACCAATCTCTGTTGTTTTTCATCCATGATGCATCCTCTGACTAAAAAGCACATAAAGAGCTCCCTCACACACTCTCTCAGGAGCCACGGAGCTACAAATCAGCCCAGTGTGTATTATTAATGACAAGTTATCAGAAGATCTAGGACAACAGCCAGCCAGGAGTTTCACTGTGCTGAGATTCTGTAGAGAAAATGAACCCTTTGCCAGGTCAGATCCCACAGTTTCCCTTGTTCCTGTCTCCACTGTGCACAGATTTGTGATAAGCCATTTTGTCACAGCAGCCAGGAGGTGATTACCCTGCCCTAGAGGCCTTACAACTGAGCCTTGCCTAAAAGACAAAGGTAACCAAGTGAGGAGACACTGGGTAGAGGCACAAAAATCTCAAACACTATAATAAAAAAAGGCAAAGTGAATTTTATTTTGCTAGCAGTTAAACATTATTAGAAGGGTTCAGGAGGACCCATATTGGCAGTTGTTAGAGCTGCAGTACAAGGCTCACAGATTCAATTTCCTGAGTGGTTACAGCTGTACCACCTTCTAAATCCTTGGGTCCTGATTTATTCATGGCATTAGGAATGCAAAATGCAAGCAGAGGGAAGTAGGCCAACAAAAGAATAGAAAGCAGGGATACAGAGGAACCAGTTTCTTCATTCCAGCTAAAAACAGGTTGAAATTATTAACTCTTTCAGAGCAGGCTCTCTCTGAAAAGCTCTGATGCATAAAGATGCACAAATGAGTCTCCCACCACAAACCAGTAATTATAAACAGAAACACAAAGCAAACATGGCTTCAGAAGAATTTGGATTAACTCTAGCCCAAGGCATTTGGATTTTCTGATGAATCATGTTCACCGTGTCTGACAGGGAGGGGTTAATGGCTTTGGTTGTGTGAACTGGGGACCAGATGTTCAGCTGGTGCAACTCAACACAGATCCATTAGAAATTAGTGGAGCAGTGGCTGCTTACCCCAGACAGGATTCTGGCCCAGTACTTTGAAATCCTGTTTATTGGCCACTTAGAGATTTCTCCAAAGGAGAGGCCTCACTTTTTCAAATCAGCTAAAAAAGCTACTAGAAACACCACAGGATGCAGTTAAAATGAAATGGCCACTGCCATGGCCTGTATATTATACTACAAAACCCCTAAATCAAAAGCCTGTAGAAGCCTTGTGACAAATAATACTCCAGCACAGTTGTTTCTGCTATGATTTCATAGTGTCCACCTACCTCACAATGGGCTGAAACAGTCATGAGAGGTAAATCACTCATTTGTCACTTACCAGGGAATGGATGGGTCTTCATTACGTCCATTTTAGTCCTCAGACAGAGCAGCTGTGGTCAGACAGGTCTTTGAGCACATGCCTTTCACAGAAAATGGTCTGCAAAATTTGCTGTGATGACTCAAATGCAAAGAGCAAGCAGGGGAAAAGAGATAAGAAAAGGTACAGTGGCACATCTCTCCCTAAAAGGGCCATTCTTCCACTCAAGTGCAATGCTACTCAGATAGTTAGAGGGGAAAAAAGAAAAAAAATGTCCAAATGTCAAAAAAAGACAAGAGTTACCACAGCATAAAGTGGCTAGAAATAATCTCTAGAGGCCAATAATCCAATAATACCAGGCACATTTTTGCTGCATGGGATGGATTTTAGACAGGCATCTTGTCCAACAATCAAAAAACAAAACAACAAAACATCCCTCAAAACAAACAAACAAAATTTTAAAAAAACACAAAAAAAGTAACAACCTCACCATCCCAACACATTAAAATCATGTTATCTGTCCTGTTGCTGTAGTTCTGCACCTCTAAGTGCCCAGCCTGTGTACTTGAATGTCAAAACTGTGCACAGTGTGCCTACATACTTTCACAATCCAGGGTATAATAAAGTCTTGTGATGCTGCACGTCTTCCATAATATGATTCTGTGCTTTCTCAACCAAACACCAACCCCAAGGGAAAACTGATGTCAGGGACCAGTAACTGTAAAACATTCACTATATCCCAAAGGATTCTGCTATAAGCTCCTTTAAATACATTTACATAATCACACACACTCTTAAGAACCCAGGCATGTTTCACGAGTGAAGTGAAGCCTCTGGCAGCACCTCCAGTCAGACAGGAATGCACCTTCCACAAACTCCAAACAGCACCTAGCCAACAGGAAGCCTTTTCTCCCTGGCTATTGCTTCTTTTAGATGTTCTGCCCCTGCTCCTTTCCCCACTGAACGAGGCTGCCATGCACACATCTGTCAGTGGCCCCAGGGAATCACTCCAGCCTTGTTGTACAGTCCCAGTGTGGAAGTACAAATCTGGTCAGCATCTGAAGACACCTGCATGGTGTAAGGACAAAAGCTAAGGGTTAAGGTATCCCTAGGGACTGCAGTACACAGCCTCTCCAGCATAAGTGGACATAACATTTCCAACTTCTTTTTGAAGGTAGTTTCACAGAAAAATTATAGAACTCGTTATATGTTAGGGCCATGTCTTGAAACATATCCAGGAGTTTCTCCTGTTGAAAAAATATAATTAGAGTTTTGAAGATCTGTTTCTCTTGACAAAAATTAGCAAGCAGCACTTATACTACTTGGGATAACACAGATGAATGAGAAGGGCAATACTTTAGGCAATTTAACCAGATGTACTTGAGCTGAGAACAGTGGTACTCAACCAGTCTGATTCTGAAGGGATGAAGAAAGCAAACATCTTGAGTGGCTCCCGAGTTGCTCTCAGGACTGATTCCTTTACAGAATCAAAGTACAGATTCACAATGTAAAATTCAGTATAATCTAACCCAACTCTCAAGTGCTTACAACCTTATTTTACAGCAGAAAAATAAAGTTCATTTAGATTTTGGAAACATCAGTTCAGCTTCTCTCAGCTTTTACTCAGACTTGAAATGAAATGACAGAAGATACATTTTGTAGAAGAGTTTTTTCAAAATGACACATTAGAAATATTTTACAGAAAATAAATTATACATATATATGCAAATAATATACAACACCTACAGAGCTGCAAACACAAAAAGGAAAAGTTACATTTGCATTTGTCAATACAGAAAACGTTGAGCTGGTGGCAATACTGTACAAGTGCTCAAATCAATAAACCACCAAGTGAACACCAAGCTTTCCAGCTGCTCTAGAAGGTCATTATAACCAAAGTTTGCATGAAAACTGTTCTGTAGGCCTCAAAAGGAAAATTAATTTCAGGAAAGTCAGCTTGGTCAGCCTGTTAAAAGTCATATGGGGTACAACAGGGAATTGGGAAACTCACTTTGCTCCAATCCAACACAGCACCCCTGAAAGGCTGATTACCTGCTGCTAAGGAAAGCAGGTCAGGGGTCAACATTACTTATAAATGAAGCACTGCTGCTCACTGCAGTTTTGAGATGGAAAATGTTTGTTTCTCAATCAAAACAGATACTCCAACAGAGAAACACTAGGGTGGAAAAGGTAGATGTTACATAACTTAGCTCACCAGCTTCAGACCAGGAAGTTTAACTGAGACAAGAGGAGGTTCGGTGTTAGTGAACCAAGCCAGCCTCAACATCTGTGTCTTCACTTTCATAAGAGAGATGTCAGTACAAAAGTGCAGGTTAGAGTAATTGCTCTGTTTCTCTCCTCTGAGGACAGAAGAATTAGTGACAGAGTCCTTTACAGTCTGCTAGTCTGCTCCAGATGACAGAGTTCCAGTGAGTCCCAGGGTCACGCTTCCACATTCCCTGCTTTGCTGCGAGAGGCCTGGGAAACACGACTGATGCTGCTCTCAATAAAGACCTTCAGCCCCTTCAAACCTTGGGAATAGAGATATTCCAGATACCAGTCCCACTTCTTCCCCTGTAAACCAGAAAGAAGAGTCAGATGAGCAGAACAAAGCTTTACCTTAAGCCAATTTGAAAAGGTCTGCAAACTCTGCCTTCCTGTGGGACAACATCCACATGTTGTGTGACATCTGTAAATACCCACAGGTCTACAGGGTCACCTGCTGTCCCCAAAGGGACAGCAATACACATTCTTAGACTGAATCATGATCTTTCTTTAATACTGAAAGAGTTTTATAAATCCCAGTCCTAAAAAGAAGAGTCTATTGGATCAACAGGCAATATGTCAGGAATTAAATGAACATGGATATTAAAGCATTCCTTCCATCACTAGGGGTGATTCCTCCAGATCAGGTTTCAAGTACACTGTGACACAGGAAAGGAAACCAAGTGCCACTGTATTTGCTCAGTGGAGGATTCCTGTTCAAAGCTGTAACAAAGTTACACATCTGTCTCAGAAATATATTATGAAGCAGAATTTGTATTATCAATGAACTTTAAGTGCATCAAGAATGTAACTTTTTCTGGAGCTGCAGAGAACAACAGCCCTGTCCTGACATTCCACTGACTCATGGAGGAAATTCAAAAAATCTCAAATCACTAGCCACAGATACATAACTTCTCAAGTGCTGATGTCCTCTTGTTTGGCCCTTTTAAGAAATTGAATCAAAGCCTACAGCTGGAATTTTTCCCCTTCCAGAATTTTTCTACAGCATTTGTGAGTTTGGTGAATATTATAACCTCATTCTCTTCAACACAGCTGCTAAAAATTGCCTGCTTTATTTACCAAAACAAGAAATCTTACCTTAATTAATTTGAAGTTTAAGGTGGTATCATCAGGAGAAACCTTAAGGAAAGGGAATAAAACAATATCAAGTCAGACAAAAAGTATGTCCAGGGTTGCTGGGTCTCTGCTAAGTCCTCTCCTAAAGCAGGAATTGTAGGCATGCAAAGAAATTTAGGGATTTTTAATCCTGCCTTAGAGGGGGCTTCCAGCATCATACTCTGTGCATAAGTGGCAAGGTAACATCTGGACCCTCTTGCCCTGTGCTGCAGCATTACAGGATAGCAACAGGAATATGCACAGGTACCTTTACCATTGTTTCTCTACAATGTGAAAGTTTTATTTTCAAAACAACAGAAATTCATAACAATGAGAAAGAGCAAGAAGAGAGAACTGACACTGAGAGCAGTGCTTGTGTTCCCCCAGTGCTGCAGAGCAGTGCCCTCTGGTGCTCAGCACTGCTGAGGAAAACGTGTCCCTGAAGTTCAACATCTTTTCCTCCTGCTGTAAAACACATTTGTCATACCTGCTAAGCAAAATTTCTCCTAGTTCTACAGTAGGAAGAGAATGCAAGAATTCCCCACCAGAAGGTTTTGGGTGTTTTTTAAGTGATTTTGAGGTTGGGTGTTTTTTGGTTGTGTTATGGTTGTTGGTTTGTAGTTTGGGATTTTTTTTAAATGTGCAAAACCTACAAAGAAGAATTAGGAACCTGTGTCAGGGAGAGTTTGGGTTGAATAGCAGGAAAAGGTTCTTCCCACTGAAGGTGACTGGGCAGCGGGATAGGCTCCCCAGGGAAGTGGTGACAGCACCAAGCCAGACAGAATGCAAAAAGTGTCTGGAAAACACTCCCAGGCACAGGGTGGGATTCTTGGGATTTCTCCTCTGCAGAGGCAGGAGTTGGACTTGAAGATTTTTGTGGGTTCCTTCCACTGCAGAATATTCCATGATTCTAGGTAGCCCAGAACAAAAATTATGTGGACGAGATAAGAAATATACAACTCATTTCCTTGGTCTAACCAAACCAAAATAGATTCCTTGAGCAAAGACAAAACCTGAGTTTAATCAGCAGTAAGACACAAACTAGCTTGATTCAAGACACTGAGCACATAAAGGCAAATTTTTCAAGTGTTCCTAAGCAGAATTCTTTGCTTCAACTTCTCAGGTGCCCCTTGCTTCATTTCAGGAGTCACACCTATTGCCTCAAGCCTGCCAGTGTTTCTCACAACAAACTGGCATCTTGGTCCTTGGACAGCCTACCAAGCCTGGTTTCTTGGAGATGCACACACATCTTGGAGCAATAACAGCTCTGGCAAACTGTTCCCTCCCTCAGCAGCTGCACTGAAAACATGATAAGACCCACAGTTCAAGAGAACTCCTGGCAGAACTCACACCAGCCAAGACAACACAGCTCCATGTTATCTTGCCTCTGTACTTGAAGCAGCTACTTGGATTTCTATTTTAATAAGCAAAAAAAGCTACCACATGAGGCAGAAAGCACTGCTAACAAATTCTGCCATGAATTGCTGTATATAATTTAACCATGTATTTCTTGACTTTCTAGAGTTTAAATATTTAGATCACTCTGCCTATTTTGTGGGGCAGAAAGCACCTTTGGTAAGCTTTTACAGAAGTGTCATTTATTTCATTAATTAGCAATTTTAGTTCTAGCTCAAAATTGTCATAAGTACAAATTCACATCTAAAACTGCTACATTCATACATTCAACTGCTTTCATCCCACACAAAGTAAGACTCTTCAAATTGTGCCATTAATCTGACAAACACAGAATGCTACAGCAGCTTTTGAAAGATGCCTCTTCCAGTCAGCCAGGACACAGAGACACTTCTCTAGAGAAGCACTCAAGACAGAACATCTGGTGCCATGAAAGATCCAAATCTTGGCCCACATCATTACCTGCTGCAAGAATTGAACAGAGTAGCCCATCAAGGCTGGATGATAGACAATGTTAAAGCTGTTTTTTATTTCCTTCACTGCAGTTTTACTCAGCAGCTTATCATCCATACGAAGTCCTTGAGAATGAATATCCTTCTGGAATGCACTGGATGTCCACAGACAGCCCACCATAGCTATTATGTACTTGTTGTACTCTTGGTATGTCTGGTTACTGAACTTGAACTGCAGTATTTTCTGAGGGGAAAAAGAAAAATCAATAAATAACATCCTCAAAGCAGCTGTGTGCTCCCTCCAGTCTTTAAAAGATGGTCAAAAAAAGATGGCCAAAGCTCCCACCAGTCTTTAAGAGATGGCCATTAGTACACCTCCCCTCCATTCAACCCAATTCCTTGCTAAAATCTGTTCTAGGACATAACAGATGTGTCCACAATACCTTTTTATTCAGCTCATTTTCTTTTGCAGCCACCAAGTTGGTTCGATACCTGAAAAAAAAAACAAAGAGAAAATTAGGGGCCTATAAATTTTTACTATACGCCTGTGCTGAAAAACATTGGAGGAATTTATCAAGAAAACTTATTTCCACCATGAGAAAGATCATCAAACTTTGTTAATGAAAGAGAGACATGAAAAAGAATTCAAAGGGACTTTATCACTTGGCAGAGTAGGAATGTATCTAATAATATTAGTCTCTTAAATGATTCACACATGACCAGTTTTGCCTGGGACAGTCACCTTCATAGAGGCAACACACAAGAATGGACATTCAGCCTTAAAATCAGCAGAGAAATGCAGTGTGTTTTTAAGAAGGGAGACTTTCATTCACTAAGCAAAGAAACAGAAGCCACTGGAAGTAATGCAACTTGACAGTTGTTCTATATAATAAGCACTAGCTCTTCTTATTTCCTAGAGACCTTCCTGTCATGTTAATTACCCTGAAGATTCCTTAGAGGAAAAGCCACATGGAGAGCCCTGCACCAGCTGTCAGCTATTGACCACTCTTCTCCTCAGATGCAGCCACTGGAACTAACAAGGCTAAGAAGTGTAGCCTTGGTGGTGGATCCTGCAGAGCAATAAACAGTGCTGTCTTTGGCCTTGCCACCAGCACAAGGCAGTCCCAAATTCCTGGAGTTTGGAGGTGGAAGAAGCGCTTCCTGCTCAGCACATGACAGAATTTGTAAGGAAAAGCTCAAGTGTAGTAGCCAAAGTACAGGACTGAGAAGTTGTGTAGTTACTACTGTTAACTCCAGCTAGTTGACTTTAGTTCTCTCAAAACAATATGGGAACTTCTTCCTTCACATATCAAAGATATGCAAATTATACCAGGAAAGAGGTCAGAATCCTGCTGTTTTGGATAACAGACTGAAAAAAAAAGAGGAGGAACTACAGCTATAAAATCATTTATCATGAAAGCTGGACACAAGAGGAATTTTTACCTCTGCCTTGCACAGCAAGAAGTAGATCCCAGGTTTTTACAACAAAGTCCTTTCATTTCCAAAAGACTGAAAGAGAAGACAAGGAGTCCCTGCAGCCCACACCTGTTGTAGTACCTGTACATAATGTAGCAGAGCTGATTCAAGTTGACAGAATCCATGCTGAGCAGTGCTGGGTAGAAAACCCCAGCAGGAGGCATTATCAGCAAAGGCAGGTTGTACTTCACGTACATGTCACACACCTGCAGAAATGAAGCACATCCAAGCTGATTATTACTGCCAAAGTAAAGATTATTACAAACTTCCAAGGATGTAAGAGCAACAGAGAGCATGACACTGAATTCCAGCCAGATCCATCAACTTCATCCAAAGGGGAAGGCCAAGGTGTCATATGCAAGTGCTGTTACCCATAAATTTTGCGCATTTTTAATGGACAATTCAGTTACAAACAGATCCCAGGACTATCACTGTTTTTTCAGCTGTTCCCAACCTAAACTGTAGGAGCTGCTGCTGTTGTTACAGCATGGCTGGAGTTCACAGTAAGCACAACTACAGAGAGGACATGAGGAAGCTGGAGAATAGACTTAAGGCCATTTGATGCTGTTTGATTGCCTACAGCACAAATTAGAAAAAAAAAACAACACATTTTTAAGGAAACATTTAAGGAAAAAAACCAAGATATGTAGCTTGAAATCGAACTGATCACTGTTCTTTTCTTTAAGTCAACATTAAAAAAGCAGGTTATGCCCCTACTGTTACTTCTCCCTCCTCAGTTCACCTCTGAATTAAGAGCAACCACTTTCTAGCAGCATATTTAGTTCTGCCTGTAGAAGCAAGAATAGCAGCTTTCACCTGTACATCTACCCAGTATTCGGAATATTCTTGCATTTCATCAAAAAGTTCTGTAAACTAGAATGAGGAAGATGTTTTATGCTTTAGCTTAAAAATACAAACAGCCTTAGGAGTACTTGAAACAAAAGACAAAATGACTGGGATACACACAGTCTCATAGAAATCCAGAATGAAGTACATCAAGAATGTGGAATTGTTTTCCAAACGCAGTGCAACAGTAGAGATCCATCCCACAAAGTGGACCAGTTCAGCCACCACATTCACTAGTCCAGAGAGGGTGGTGTTCCTGCAGCAATGACATGGCACAACATTACAGATATGTCTTTGCAAACAGCAACATGGAAAATGGTAAAACAAAATTAAAGTTTATGCTTTTGCCCCATCAAATACTCAACAACAGACACTTGTTCTTCAATACAGCCAGTAACACATTGTTATCAGCACCATTATAAACACCCAGATATCAGTGTTACCAGATTTTGAATTCTGGACACTTCAATTTCCAGTGTCAGCAGAAATGCTTCTAAAGAAAGACAAAGAACAGTACTGAAAAGGTAGCTTACAATATAGCAGAATCATAACAGCATTATTAACTTTCTGGTTGGTTTTTATGCTGGGTGTTAGGGCTAGAATATAGATCTAAATACACCGGTGAGAAATGCACAGAACATGGTTTGCATCCTTTAAAGTCAAACTTACAAAGAAGAAAACTCCAAATCCATTTGGATCACATTGCAATTTAACCAGTTCTGCAACAGCTCTTTCAGGCTCTCAAGAATACTGCACTGCAATAGGCAAAAAGAAATCAGGTTGATGACAATTTATGCAAGCAAATAATCCCAAACAAAGAATGCCTTGAGAATTGGCATATCCAAGGAAAGGTACCAGGAGTGTGCCAAGAGCAGTGACATAGTTGCACAACCCTAGAACTGAATGTATGTGTTGTATATCGCATCTCTGGAGAATGTGAATTTCAAGTAGAGAAAAACCACCAAAAAACCAGTTTTAACAAGTAGTTAAACTTGTTAATTGAACTATTGTGTTGTGTGCTATCAGTTCTTTTTATCTCCGGTGCCCCAGCTTAATTCCAGTCAAAAAAAGGAAGATATCTTAAAGGCATCAATTTCCTAAAGAAGTTAAACTGTAAGTATATATTTTATCTTGTTTGGGCACAGACTTCTCAAAAGGATGTTTCCTATACAATCCCTCAGACTGCTACACCTAACACAAGTACAGATAGGAGTATAAACTAGAAGTAAGCAGCCATTATATTCATTTAAATTACCTTAAAGTAAATAGATGATGTGAAAAAGAGCTGTGCCAGGGGATCATAGAGATATGACTTAATGTCTGAAAAAAATGAGAAAGCAATAGGATATCAGTGCACAAATTCTATGCCCTGAGATAGCCCCACAGTCCAAGTCACCCAAAGGATCTGCAGCACATACCAGAGGAACTGCTGAGGGGGATCCAACTCACAAGTTTGAGGATTTCTGAGCGGCAGCAGACACCATCCCAGAGAGGAAGGGTCTTATAAAGGAACTCTTCACAGGCAGAAAATCCCTCCTGCAAAGCAGAAGAGAAGCATTCAAAAATTCATCTGACTGCACCTTGCCACACTCGCATCACTCTGGAGAAGGGAAGAGACATACACCTACTTCCAGCCATTACACTCACATCACTCTGGAGAAGGGAAGAGGATTACACCTACTTCCAGTCATACTTACCAGGACATTCAAATTATTGAATTAATCAATTAAGAAAAATAGTTCTTAGACTATTTTTCCTGCAGAAAACAAGGCCATTTCCAGAATATAGATAAGTGCCAGAAGTTCTTTAAGGGAAGACTTTGTGAAACCCTTGGCTTCCACAAACATGCACTTACCTGCAACAAACATTCTGCCTTGTAGATAGTTTCCAGGAAGCTCCTGAATTCTTCTTCATGTGGTTTATCAACCACACACCAGGTGCATTCTGAACAGGAGAGAATACTGTACTTGAATATGAGCACAGCAAGAACAAGCACAATGAGAAACCAAATTCAGTTCTCCTCCAGTAGCTGTTTTAACACTCTATAGTTATCTCTGTAAATCTGAATAGCAAAGCACCATTAAAGAAAAGTGTGAAAAGCCTCAGACACCCTTTAGCTCCCTACCTCACAAGATAATACTGAAGTTCCTACCTTCCTGGAGCATCTGGCCCATCCAATAGTAGAGCCTCAGGTAGATAGATTCATCTTTCACACAATTCATGTAGTGAAGCAATAAGGGGTTTGTTAGCACTGAACCCATCTGGGAAGGAAACTGCAAGAAAAAAAGAAAATAATAATTATTCAGTATTTACATCAATAAACTGCCAGAGAATCTCATGTTCAATCTTTTTACCAGCAACAAGACCATTCCCAGGACTCATCCACCATCCTCAGTTAGGACTAGATGCTCTCTTAGAATTAGATAGCAGCCCACACACTACTCACACATAAACAGGGCATAGAGGAACATCCTTTGAACTCCCAAAACATTCACCAAGACCTTTCTGAAACTCACCTCTAGATGGTGGATATTTTGTAGGAGCTGAGGGAAGGTCTGCAGCTGCTCCACTGGAAAAGACCTGCTTGTACTGTACAAATAAACACTGTTCTTTTCCCCTTCCTCTTCTAAATTATTTGTGTTTGTACTGGTTGCAGGTATAACCAACTGGGCATTCCATTTCTGTAGAAAGGAAAAAATAAATTACTCAGATTCCAATGCAATTGGCTGCACTCATGAACCATGTTCCCAGAAAGACCAATTTTACAAAAAAGGTATCCAGGCTTTCATTATAATTGACTGTTGCATTTCTCTATAATTACTCCCCGCTTTCCTGTGCCAAAATAAAGCCAGACTCACATTATTTGCCAATATTCATAATGAAAACCATGACTTGGCACCTTCTAGGTGTGCCTTAGGTCCATAACATACCCTTTTTCGTGACTGAGGTTGGGACGTGCCTAAAAACACTGCCTGGGACAGAGGAGAGGTTCCCTGGTTTCTTTGCCTTACTGCAGTGATTGCTGCTTTCCATGGGCCCTCTGGATTCTTGAAGTAACTCTAGAAACAGAAATCAGACATCCATGCAAGAAGCCCAGCTAAGACAAAGCAACAGAAAGATCAGTTTCTACTCTGATTAACATCGCCACAGTAATGTAAAGATACACTTGATAGATTTTCACAGCACAGAACTCTCATCATTCATTAGTTTCATCACCTTTGGTCAACAATTTAACAGTTGGGCTTTTATTTCCTTTGGAACAATGTCCCCTTTTTCAGAAGGGGTCTCCAACACTTCTATTTTATAATTTTAATTCAAACCAATCATCAATTCATAGATTAAGTCTCAAGTATACGTTAAAATTAAACGGGACCAAGGTATGCTCATGCAGTTAATAAAAGAATTTCCTGAATTCAGCATCAGTGACACTCACATAACATACCAATGCTATGAGTAGCCAAATACTCAATGTAGATATTACCACAGAAAGTTGGAAAAGCTAACACCTTTTCTGCACAAAAAATAAATAAATTTGACATTTCAATGCCGATCAGTCTTTAAACTCTAATCAAGTGCCAACCATCACAAAACCATTCAGATCGTCTTGGACCTAGTTAATCAAGCTTTTAGTACACAACGTAGTGTGCTCATAAAGACAGTTGAAGAAATATTTGGGATCTAGTTCCTAGTAATTTACTGCACTTCTGTGCATGTTAAAAAATGTAAATTCTCCAACAGATGACTGTGCAGCACAATGTAAAGTATAAATTTAGAGAATATAAATACACAAGCAGATTGAAATAAATTTTATTTTATAGAAACTCAACTTGCCTGCAAATAAATTAAATGTCTGTTCTAAAAAACCAACAAAAATCTCAAACTTTTAAGTCTATCCCACTGAAAGAAAATTTTGTTGCAATAGCAACAAAGAGCACCAGCTGCTCTTTTCTCATATATCTGGCTCTGGTACATGTTTCTACTTAGTCAAAGGGCTGAGCATACACACCTCTCTTAGGCCTCTCTAAAAGGGGAGTAATTTTTTACTGTTCCTTGCATCTCTGACAAATCAGTTTCCTACATTTTTTAACTGCTTTCTTCTCTCTCCAAGTGCAGAGCTCCACTGTCATTTGTACTTGAGAATGGCAGCAATTAGAAGAATACCTTGACAAATTAGACAGTTTGTTTCCTGCAGAACTTAATATTGTGTGAAACAAGTCAAACCCAGCAGGAACACCAAAAGGATTAAAGTAATCCTCATAAAACAAAGGTAGATGTCATTCCTTACCAAATCATCTCATTATACTGAAGAGGAAACAAACACAAGGCAAGGAATCCTCATCTAAACCTGATTTTACTCAGTGAAAATAGGAAATAGAATTAATCTTCACTAGTAAATCTGCTACAGTTTAAATAGAAAGCTTCATACAAATACTGTAGTAAATCCTGGTTCTGAACTGACTAAATTTAATTCCTTACCTTCATTTTCCCAGAAAGGGTTATGGTCACCTGCTCTGGGCAGAAAAGTTTGTAAAGTGATAGCAGAGCTTGTAGATGAGACTGCATTCCCTGTCAAAATAACAGAACAAGAGGGAAAATATGTGGGGTATGTTTTTAATATAGAAACTGAATGCTGTATTTTAAAAGCAAAAAACCCCAGGGATCAGTAAAAGCTAAAATTCTAGAGCTACACATCACCAAGTAAACACAGATAAACAACGGTGAAAGTGACAGAAACAACAAAAACTGGAATAAATAACTATAGGAAGAAGTCTGAAGATCTTTCTGTAATCATAACTGATAAAAGGGAATTAAACAATCAAAGTGATAATAAATAGTCTTCTGCTGTCTAAAAAACGTGTTATTATAGCAATGGTTTTTTTCTTTTAAAAAGGGGAGCACGGTCCTCTACAATCTCACATTTTTCAGTCATTTTTGGTACCACTTGAAAAAGGAAGATGAATAGAAAATTAAAGACTAATAGATAAATGAAGCTGCCCCTTGCTTCAGAGATTTCACCATACCTGGTCACCAAACACTGAGCTTGGCATATATCACTGCATGTGCTCACAAAACACACATGAAAATTAGGGATGCATGTCCAAGAGAGAAACTTTGATGCTACAAAGACTAAAACCTACAATTTCAAGTCCATCTGCTCTTCTTCACTCTGTAAGGACATTAGTCTTACAAAGTTAGATTTTTAACCACATTATTAACCACAGTTCAAACTCTACAACATCTGAAATAAACTCACCATTTTTGCTTGGAGGTCAAGCAGAGTCCTAATCCGAAAAGGCTTGACTGGAAAAACAATTAAGAATATAAAGGATTTGAAAAATACCATATCAGACATTTAAGCAAAAGTTATATAAGCAATATTTTTATTATAAAGTCATGAAAAAGCAAGAAGAACCAGTAATCCTTATTTCTAGGGTAATATAGAAGTTTCCAATTCAGCAAGTGTTACACAAAGTTTTGCCTGAACCACCACTAATTCTTCCTTGCATTAAAAGCACAATATTGGCTAATCATTGTATCAGCTGTATTGGAAAAAAAAAAAAGGCAGTACCAGCAAACAGGATCAGAAATAAAATGGTATTTCAGCTCACACAGGTAAGACTCACCATTTTCTTTCCTGGTCAGCAGGTAGAGCAGGTGGCAGACGTAGGGGCACTGCAAAGCAAAGGCAGCCATGAGCTCTCCTGCTGCTGCAGACACACAGCCAGGACACGCAAAAAAGCAGCACAAGAGAAAGCTCCATGTATCAACTTCATTTGAAACTTCATCACTGCACTATGAGCAGTCCTGACAGTAACCAAGCCATTTAATTAACTTGGATAATGTCTTTAGCAACATTATCTAGAAATTACAAGAGTCAGCAGTGAAAGTGCTTTTGAAAATTACATTTTCTAAAGGAAAGGCACCTTTGAACCAGTATACTTTTTTAGAGCTTTTAACTGCAGCTGAGGCTGGAAAGGGTCTTAAATTAGTTTCAAGCCAACTCTGCTGCACTTTCCAGCTGACCCATCATGCCTGAAAAAGCTATTTTAAACATTAAGAAGTTAAATCCAGTTTTATGGAAAGATTATAACTGAAGTTAATATAAAACCATTAAAAACATTACAAAAAATATAGCTCAGAACTTTTGGATTTTGTTTTAACTACAAAATATCTTAAACTGAAAGAATATTAACAATCTCATACCTAACATGATTGCCAAGATCATTTTAGTATGCACTGATTTCAAACACTTCAAAATTCCTAGATTTTACAGTTGCCATATGGCAGAAATTGCCTGAATGCATGCTCTCTTTTAAGCTATATTTCAAATTAATTAAGTGGAACAGTAATTAGTTTCTTACCTTAAATAAACACTGCTCTAAAATGCTTGTTTTTTTCTTTTTGCTCAAAGTACAAGTCAGTTTCTGCTCAGAAGCAGGAGACTTTACCTGCTGATGTCTGACAATCCCAGAGACCACTGTTACTCTTGGGAATTTAGACAGAATAAATGGTCACACTCTCTGTGATACAGCATAGCAATTCTTGGATACATGTTTAAGCAAACAGACCACAGCAATCTTACTGTACTTGGCTGTTTATGGATCTGAATTACCCAGCAGTCTTATAATGCAAAGAGAAAATGAAAAAGGAAAACCAGACATCAGAAAATGGTCTCTATCCAACACCTACTCCAGACTAATTCTAGCATTAATATGCATACTACTAATGAACATTTAGGTTTATTTTGTCAGCTCCATATGTTCTTCAGCTCTCCTTACCATCTTCTCATCTTGCAGGAAGGAGAAGAAGAAACCATAGAGGGCATGAAGTTGTTCCTTATGATCAATGAAGTCAAACACTGTGATCAGCCACTTTAAAAAAAGCAGCTGCAGACAGGAAAAAAACAAAAAAACACATTACATTAAGTGATGGGCAAAAGCAAGGCAGAGGAAACAGAACTCGGCTCAAGACACAATCAGTAAGGATACACACCATTCTTAAGGATAAACAGAGAGCTACAGACAAACAGTTCTGGGGTAATTCAGTTGCAGAAAGGGATTGACCAGATAAAGAACTAGCCCCATCATTGTTGTTGTCAACTGGGTTTTGGTTTCCATAACCATGGGACCCTATTTGGATATCAGTGGTGATTGAGAAAGAAGGAATCCGATAAATGGGACACATGTGGGCTCAGCCTGGAGAAAAGGAGGCTCAAGGGGGACCTTCTCACTCTTTACAACTCCCTGAAAGAAAGCTGAAATGAGGCAAGGGCCAGCCTCTTCTCCTAAGTACGAAAGTGATAGGACAAGAAACAAGCAATAAGTTCTGCCAGGGAGGTTGAGATTGGTTAACAGGAGAAATTTCATCACTGTCAAGCACTGGAACAGACTACCCAGGGTAGTGGCAGAATCAGCACTCCTGGAGGGATTTAGAGGATGTGCAGCTGTAGATCCTGGGGACATGGTTGGCTTAGCAGCATTAGGTTAATGGTTGGATCCTGTGGTCTTCATCTTCTCCAACCTAAATGGTTCTATCACATAAATCTTTGAGCAGACCATGAGAACGTAAAAAGACTCTTTTCCTAATGTTAAGTCATGTTGCCATGACCAAGGTGCACATAACCTAAGGGACACCTCATGCACCAGAAGTATTTCACAATGTTTGTGGAGGCACCATTCTTGAGGAGTTGAAAGATAAAAGACAAGCAGGAACCAAATCTCCACTGACACTTTTAATGTGTTTCTTGGTTCCCATTGCCATTCCAGCAACGGGCATCTCTGCTAGTCTTATTAAATGATAGTACCTTGTCATTTAAAATATACTCTGTACATTAAAACCTCAGGATTTTTGACTCCCCAAAATAACATGTTGTTATGGTTCCGGTGCAGAAGCAATAACTACTGTAAACACTTACTAAGTTACCTGGATGTTGCCTGAGCATTTGCTGACACAGAGCCAAGACACAGCTGTAACCACAGAATTTTCTGGTACCACTGAGGCAGGAATCAGGCTCTTCAATAAACGAGTATTCACTGTATCAGCTGGAAAAAAAACAACTTCAAATGAGATAGTGCTCATGTACCAGGTTCTTCAATATTGTTTTGCAGCTTAATTTGCAGCAAAATTACCTCTGGACAAAATGATTCAGAGCTTCCTTGCTCAAATAACAGTGTATAAGGACTTATAAGAATTTATTAAGGACTTGCCTATACCTCAAAATGATGACAAATAATTCAATGCAGCTTAACAAAAGAAAATGGAGACGATACCAAAGCATGTCAGAAAAAATAATTTTATGCTACAGTACTGTAAACACATTATCTCAGCAGGTTTGATTTGAGGGGAAAGGCACATTCACAGAAGATACACCAGAAGTATAGAAATGCTGTACCAAATTTGCCACTGAGCGCCACTTTCAGCAATATCTCGAACCCTTCAGGGGGCAGCCCTTGTTCCAGGGCAGTACTTTCCACTGCATTCAAGTGTTTCTGCAGAACACTGTTCTTCTTCAGTGCAACACAGTCTTGAACTAGGAAAAACAAATAGTACAAGCACAGGATGAAACTTCTGAACAGAAATTAACTTAAAGCTTCTCTGAACTGTCCCTGCACATCTTCTTGACATTTTAAAATTAAGTAACAAAGCAGAAAAACTTTTAAGACATTAAAGAAACATTACATAGCTCAGGGATTAAAGAGGGAAAACAGAAGTAAAATTATTCTAAAATTATTAATATTTTAATAAGAAATATGTAGAGAGACTTTTTACAAGAGCATGTAGTGACAGGACAAGGGAAATGGCTTCAAACTGAAGGAGGTTTAGATGGGATACTGGGATAAAATTGTTTACTGTGAGGGTGATAAGGCTCTGGCACAGATTGCCCAGAGAAGCAGAGGCTGCCCCATCCCTGAAAGTGTTCAAGGCCAGGCTGGATAGGGCCCTGAGCAACTTGATCTACTGGAGGGTGTCCCTGCCCATGGCAGGGGTGTTTGGTGCCTCCAATCCAAACCATTCTATGCTATTCCCTTTTCTTTACATAGTAGTAACACAAAACTTCTACGACACTAAACAAATAATACATACCTCAGGCATTAAAGAGGGGAAACAGATATAAATTAGTTTTGGTTTTGTTTTTTTTTTTTAATTAAGAATGTAGTTATTATCTTCTCAATCCTAAATAACCACCCTAAAAATGCTCTTACCTTTCTCCAAGTAGCTCAAAGCTTGCTCTAGAGATCCTTCCTGGCTATCGTATTTCTCATCATTAACAGATTGCTGATTCTGCAAACTTTTTTCAGAGTCAATTCCCCCTCCTTTTCGCCATGCAGAGAGATCAGTTTGGCTTTTATGATGACCTTGCAGAGACAGCCTTGGGGCCTTGGAACTCTGCCTTCGCTGCATCTTTTCAGACTCACAGCTGAGAATGGAGAATTTTACTCATTTGTCATGTGAGAGCCAATCCTTCATTAGGCAAGAAAAGAGATCAGCTGATGAATGTCACAGAACTGGTTCCCTGTGAGGAAAAGAAACATTTGTTTTCTTAACAAGCAGATTTTAAATTCAGAAGAAATTAGTCAGAGATGACTATTCCCTAAAAGATCAGAGAAAATCCTCAAAGATGCACAGACAACAGTGTATCAAAACTCTCATCTCACATTAAAAAAGAAAAAAAATCCCAAGTAAAAGTTAACACAAGCTCCTTTCAAGTTAAACATTATCTGATACAATCTCATATAGCATTTTCATTAAAAAATAAACATAACCAGAAAGTTAACAAAACACAACCAAGTTTTCTTCTGAGTTAATTCTGTACACAATTATTTTCCTTACTTGTATTGTGTATGCCAATACAAACAGTCAACAAGTCATGATTCTCTGCAAGGTTACATACAGATGGTAGAGGATCATAGCAACACTTTTCTTCCTATTTCACAAAAATTAGATTCTTCTGCAGCCCTCCTACTAATCAGCTTGGATTAGAAAAATTAAGAAATTTTGATAAGCTTCCAAATGAGGCATAAGAGCTACCAACAGTCCCAAACTGCACAGCAGTGGGTGAAATACAGGCACAAAAAGTGGCATTTTCTCTTCAACATGTTGAAGAGATCAACGTTTTACCCACAAAATCAGAAAATTTGCTACAATTTCCTGAACATGGTAGAGTGTGCACCCCTATCCCTGGATTGCTGGGACCTATTTCCTGACACAATAAAACAGAATGACTTTCAATTCATATCCCTCTCCATCTCTCACTTCCTTATGAAGTTAGAACCGTCACTATTTCCCTATAGGTTTGTTTGCCACTTTCCCGTGCAGCAAAGCTCAGTGACCACAGTCTGGATTACAGCAACAGCTTTCTCTCAGCTCCCTCAACACCTTCTCTACATGTGTTTTGATTTCTTTTGTCCTGCAGGAGTTCTACCAGAAAGGTTTGGTGAAGAAGAGAGCAGCTGGAAGGGCAGTTCTGGCTGATAGCGAGCCCAGCCCTGCGCAGCCCCTCAGAAAAGAGGAATGTGGCACGAGCGCTCCTCACCCTCCTCCCAAGCACCCCCTTCCCCAGCAGCCGCCACCGCGACTGCCCCAGGGCCACCCGGAGTATCCCCAGGGGACAGAGGAGGCGAGGCCTTCCCGGCCCGGCCCAGCCGAGCGGCCCCGGGGCCCTCAGAGCGGCGGCGGGGCCCCCTGGCCCTCAGAGGGGAGCCGGGCGGGGGGAAGGGGGGAGTCACTGACCACCCCCTCCCACGACCACTGACCCGGCCACAGACCATTCCGGGGCAACCCTCCCGCTGCCCTGGGCACCGACCCCTGCTGCCACGACCACTGACCCTGCCGCTGCTCTGGCCACTCACCATTCCAGGGCCAAGCCTCCTGCTGCCCTGAGCACTGATCACCCCTCCACACGGCCACTGACCCCACAGCAACCGCCTCCCGCCAGCTCCAACCGTCCCTACGTTCAAACCCCGCCGCCACCGCCCCGCGCATGCGCAATGACCGCAGCCGCCCCTCAGCACCGCCCCTGACCGGCGCGTTCCCTCCCAGCCGCGCATGCGCAGCGCGGCCACAGCGCGCTGTGGGCGGCAATGACGGCGATGCTTCCGCCCTTCCTGCGCCAGGCGCCTCTGCGCATGCGCGGCCCGTGCGGGGCGGGAATTCCCCGTGAGGGGAAGTACTCCCTCCCCTCAGGTGTCTTCTCAGCTACCGGGCAGGGAACGTCAGCCTGAGATTACGTTTTAAAGAAGAGGGTGGGAGGGGAAAAGGCGCATGTAAAGCGAGACAGTAACCCTGAGGCCGACCGGAACGAAATGAGGTGTGTGGAGATAAGAGGGGAAAAAACAGAAAGAAAGAATTAAAGAAAAAAAAAAATAAATAAATAAAGAAGAGTAAATTAGCATCGAGGTCTTACAGAAGGAGTAGATCTGTTCTTGTCACTTTCAGCGAGCACAGATGGCTGGAAGCGTCCAAAAATAGCTATTTAATGCTGGGGGCAGTGAAAGAGGTCAGCCCGCTAAGATAAATACAGAATTCTTGTTACTGGGCTCCAAGATGAGTTGTCTCGCTCTGTAACAAAGAACACGCAGCCACTGCTGCGGGTCGGTTGTTCATATCCCTGCAAATGTGAAAAAAGGGGAATTTTTTAGTATTCACTGAACAGTCTAAAGCTTTTACAGAGATAGCCTTTGCTCCTTGGGATGCTTTATTTTATTATTATCATCTCTACAAGGTTCAGTGAGGAATGTTACAAAAAATAAACACAATTTTTCCCAAAGGTTTCCTGGGTTGGATGCCTAGGTGAAAGGGCTGCACCAGTTCAGTTGTGTAGGAATGCACAGCATGGTGTGGGTTTGAGTTAGTGGTATTTTTATTTAGTTCTGAATTAAAACACGATAACCCCAGTCAGGGGCATGGTAGTTAAAGCATCTTTGGGGAAATAAAGGGAATTCTGTATATATATTTTGGGTGACCTTGAGATAGTCTCTGAAGATGAGATTGTGTAACAGAGGCGGCCTTCTGGTTCCTTTGCTCAGGGTGCACATCTGATAAGAATCTAGTCCATCTGGAGCTCTGGGAGGAGGCTTTTTGAGCACATTTATATTTATATATATAAATATATGTATATATATGTGTGTATATATATATGTATTTATATTTATACAGGGCTGCATCTGTTTTAGCAAACTTCAGGAGAAAACTGCATATGAACATCCATCATCAATTTTTATAAAGATACAATGCTGATAGTTTATTTGAGTTACCTTTTCTCACTGCTGCACTGAACTGTAGCAGAAATTTATTTGAGACTGTTTCAGTGAGATACCCAAATGTCTCTTTTAAATATCTGTGGTTATTAATATATAACCAAGTAGAGTTTATCTGACTTCCACTCTGCATCACCTTGTCTCTCAAATTGCCTGACATGATTCAGCCCATTTTAGGTGGAGTGTTTGACCAGAGGGAAATGTTTCAGACATGTCTCTCAAATAAGAAATTTGTTTCTGTAAAGACATTTTTCTCCAAATTTCAAAATGTTTATTTTTGACTAATTAAAAAAAAAAAGAGAAAATAAAAAAATGTAAAACTGAAAACAGACAAACATTAAGAAAACCAGACAAATTTCAGAGGTCACACATGCTCCTTATGACAATCTAAGATTTCAGATACAACACAGGGATTCAGGCTCTGGTAACAGGACTTATCCCAGCTCACTGAGGCTGTAGGTGGGATGAGCAGTGAGGTACCTGCAATTGTTCAGACCCTCATCTACCAGAAATAAACAACAATTCTATAAAGTCACAGTAGCTGTGGGGAGGGAAAAAGAGGAACTTGCAGGGAACTGGGGAGCACAATGCTACTTGCCAACATCAGAGAGATATTTTGAAGTTCTTTGGGCTGTTCTGCTCCCCATCCCCTCTCCAGGCACCCTTACTGTCTGCCAAGAAGGGTAAAGAGATGCCACTGCCTCGTGTGAAGCAGGCAAAAAACAACTGTTATCAGGCCATTGTCCTAGTTTTGGAGCCTCTGCATGGAAATCAAAGAAGATGTAAACAGAGCATCCCATGTTCTCTCTGGATAACCATTCCATAGAAAGGACTGGGCACAGAGGCAGCAAAGCCCAAGGAATCCCCCTCTCCAACACAACAAACAGCATGTTTTTGGTAACAGGGTCCCTTTTACCTCTTGACCACGGAAAGGGAAATGCAGATATGTGTGTGTGGGGCTGCTCAGGGACACTGGTCATGTCCTGCCCAGCCACTGTTCTGGGCAGAGCAGTGCAGCCAGGCCAGCTCTGCTGCCGTGGGGCTCAGGGCTGGAGCTCAGGACCGATCTCCCCATTGCAGCAGTGCCAGGGTGGCCTGACTGCCCACCCAGGTCTCTGACCAGGGTCTCAGGCTGGTTTTGCAGCTCCTGCTGAGGCCAGCACTGCCTCCAGCTGTGTTGCTGACTGCCTCCAAGCTGTCCCTGTGGAAGCTAGCTTGTGTTTTTCTACATTACAGGGCAGCAGCAAAAGCAAGACTACAGTGTAGACATACCTTGTATCTCTCAGACCCCAAGTGCAACTTTATTTAGACAGACAAAAAAAAAATGCAAGTAGGTAAATAAAAACCAAATTTTCTGGGTGATTTTGGAGAGAGCTGCCTCGAGGGTCCGTGTTTCCTCACATGCACTCAACTAGGATACCTTCATTTTGCCTTTCTCAGGAGCTGCTTCATGGATGAGTGGCTGCTCATCCCCGTTCACCGACAGCATCCTCTTCTCTGGCGGCAGCTCCTCGGGCTGGCGAGCGATCAGCAGGCGGCAGGTGAGCAGGATCCCAAAGACCAAGGCGTGGGCATAACGCTTGAGGGGGTCCCCCACGAGCTGGTGGAAAAAGAGCACAGCCAGCACAAGGAGGAGGAGCAGGAAGTTGGCCACGTCCTTGGGGCGACCAGGCACCAGTGTCATGACAATGCCGCACGCCACTTCCAGGGCGCCGATGCTCTTGCGGAGGAGGATGGAGCTGACTCCCATCTTCTTGAGCATGGGCAGGGCCCGCACATAGCTTTTGTACGCTCGTTTCTGGAATCAAGCAGCCAAGGACATCATGTGAGAAAATGAAGGCAAAGGTGACTTCCATTGAAACAGACTGATGTGCAACATAACCTAAAAATTATTTCAGTTGTCACAGACCCCTCTGGCACAATACCCAATTTGTAAAGCTTCGGTTTGGGGGTGTATTAAATTATCAATCTGCAATTCCCCCTTTCTAAGCTGTTGTCTCCTCACTGGAAGACAGTTCAGCAACCTCTCATCCATCTTTGGAACTACAGCCAGGCCAGGTGTACCTTACCCTGGAATCTGAGGTTCAGATTGCTTGATTTAGCAGTGCAGAACCATGTTGTTAAAACAAACAAACCTCTTTCTAAGAGTACCTTTTGCTTTAAAATTGGCTAATTCACCCAATCCCTGAAAAGCCAAAGCACAGGAAGTAAATACAAGTCTCTTTCTACTCCAAAGCAACTTACAACATCCCAAAGCAACTTACAGTATTCCAAAGCAGCTTACAGTAGTTATAGGCAGTGCAGGCTTGGGGTGGTACTAAACATCAAAGCTGAGATTCACCAGTCCTCTCCTGTGCTTACATACCTTTATGATCCTTTCTTTCCTCAGGTGAAAGCAAGCTGACATTTGACATTATTTGCTCCCTGGTTTATGCTGGATTTAGAAGCAGTGTAAGTTGCAAGACAGCCTGCTTACACAGCTGCCTCATTCTTTTGGGGAAAGAAACAACCTTTGTCCTTACACATATCCAGGTTCTTGCATTTGAACATTAGGTGTCGGTGGCCCTACTGTTTTGTTTGGGTTTTTTTCTCTTTTTGTTTTGCAGTCAAGTATTTCCTTTTATAGATATATATTTTAATAAAGCTTCTATATTCAGCGTGACACTGAAATTATTTCCACTTTTACTTGAGTATAATAACCCTGAAGACATTCTTGACATTGTGTTCTCTGTTTTCTAATCAGCATGAGGGAAATGGAAGCCAAATATCAGGTACAAGATTGTTCAGCTCTCACAGGCACTGATCAGACTGTGGATTTACTTCCATACAATTTTGGAAATCTACATTACAGGCATACAGAACTTTCCAATGTCTCCATAGAGTTTGATGCTTCCTTCTGAGAGGCTCTGATGCTTCACAGGTGGTTAAAAAATATCCAGCATTGTCATTTTAGCTACAAAATAATTGAAGATCTCATGACACATTTACTCCAAGTGTTTGCATTGTGAGGATGTATTTTAAACCATCAGTGACTAAAACCTCAGAGCAGAGTATTTTTAAACAGTAGTGAAAAACACACTTTTAAGAAATGTACTATAAGCATGTCCTAGAGTACTCTGGTATTTTAGGTATTTTAATAGGCAAGCTAATGTGTTTATTGCTGAATGAAAAACTACAAGTTTGGTATTTTAGGTAGATAACAGAGGTTCTTTGTTTTCTGGGGGCAAAAAGCCATCCTTATGGATTAGCAAGGTCAGATTTTTCCTAATTGTCTGCATGACCTGGCAGACCACCACATGTATTGTAGCACAGCAAAGGCAGGAGAGCCTAATGAGCCATGAATATGTAACAATATGGACTATGAAAAATAATGACACTGTGTAACAGCTGCTTTATAAAACAGGAGATCATTCCTACCTGTAGGCCTGACTGGTGATAAAGCAGAAGGGGACACAGATGCAAAATATTTTACAGAGCAAGCATTTTGCAATGCTCCTAAAGCCTCTGCTTTTTTCTTTTCTTTTTTTTTTCTTTTTTTTTTTCTTTTTTTTTTTTTTCTGTAGCAGAAGCTTAAGAGCTTTGTTTTCTAGGGGTTTTACCTCATGTGTCTCTTGCCCGTGAGTTACTTCTTGGGGATTTTCCTCTGTGAGATCCCTGTGCTGGGCTGCAGACTAGGCACTGCCATTCAGATGTTATTTGAGAGCTGAGGAAAAGCAGCTGGGCAGGTGGAGCAAAGGGAGAGAGAACAGAATGTGCTGGAAACTTCTAGCACAAATATTTTTAGGGGCACAAAAATTATACTAATCTTTTCAACCACCACAATAAATAACTGGGGAAGCGGGGGGTGAGGGGGGCAGGAGAATAAATAAACACAGATGAGGAAGCAAAATGTGGCAGCCAGTCTCCCACCTGCCTGCAGCTCACAGCTGGCAGTGCTCTGCAGCAGGGCTGGCCCTGAGCAGAGAGAAGCATAAACCAGTTCACCAGGTGAGAAATGCACACAATAACTTCTCCATCCTCTCCTCACCCCCTTCCTCTTAGGCAAGCGGGGGAGAGGCTCATTCCCCAGGCCAAAGAGAATGAGAAGAATAATAATAATACCTTCCTCTGCAAGCTAAGAATTTCAAAGCATTTCACAATCATTAATTAATCCCTGCATAAGTCTGGTGAGGTAGGGACAGTCAAGTCAGTATCATCATCCTTGCTTTAAAGCATCGAGTTTTGAGAATCAACATCTGCCAGAGCAGGCATCTGCTTTTCCTACCCCCATCCAGTGGATAGATTTCCCCTGAGGGATCAGCTGTCCCTGCCTGCTGCATGTCTGGCACTTCCGCAGGCTTTGCTTTTAGAGACCCTTGTGACCCCAGCTTCTTTAGTCTGTGTGTGCTGTGCCACCCCATCCTCCTTGCCTCCCCTCCCCATCCTTATCCATCAGAGGTTTCTCCGTGGATAGGCTCAGCTGGAACCCAGGCGAGGGCTGCCAGGATATCTTGGGCACTGCGTATTATTGGCTTCTCTCCATGTCTGTCACGTAAGGAGTCAGATCAGCTTCTTCTCTCTCCTGCCCCTCGCTCGGGGTTCCAGGGCAGTCACCCCCAGCGTGCCCCACTGCTCCTGCGGCAAGAGCCCTAAAGCACCTCCCTCCGTGCTGCCCGACTCACCATCTCATTGTAGGCATCCCTGCTGAGCCGGGGGGTCAGTTTGATGGTCCCCATAAAGACGAAGAAGAGCCCCAGGGCCACCGAGAGGGCGACGATGGTGATGGTCCTGGGAGATGCCATAGAGCCGCAGGGATCCGGTCCTAGCGAGGCCTTGTGGCTCTGGCTGCCAGCCCGGGTGGGAGGGAGTCCGTCACCATTGAAGGCTGTAGGAATAAAGCTGCAGAGGCAGGAGGATGACAGCGGGAGGGGATTCAGCCTCCTCCACTCAGCAACCCCTGGGTCCTAAAGCCCTGCAGCCAGAGCCACTCAGCTCCAGCACTGGAGCGCCGAGAGGAACTCATCCTCTTGTTACCTTGCGTGTTCCATAAATCGCCCACAGAAAGCCGAAACTGAGTCAATTCTAGGGACGTGGGATGGCAGCCAAAGACAGAGCACACTTACTCATTAGTGAGGAAACAAGGACGTTAGCAGAGGGCACAGGAGTAACGTGCTGTGGAGGGGAAGTGGGCAGGGGTCTCTTGTACACAGACAGCTTTCAGTTTCAGATATTCAGATACTCATACATAGCGAACAACATATTGTGGGTTTTTTGCACCAGGAAAGAAAAAGAAATGTTTTGTCCCTGTGGCTCTTCTGGAACCTGATGCTCAAAAGGGAAGGTGAGGCCACTTGTGTCACCCACCCCCATTGCAGGTAAAACCCATCCTGCATGTTCAGCTATCCAGAGGCTGGGGGAAAGGTTTTATGATCCTCTGGTATATTCTGATTTAAAGTCATTGTCTCCCCTGCAATTAATGCAACAAATTTCCTTTTGACCAAAACCTGGCAGAAACTTATTCAGATCTCGCAGCGAGAAACCAAGGTATAATTACATGAAACAGAACTGCTGGAATAAAATTGGGTATAAAATGAAGAGGCCGCAACTGTGTAAAAACCTACGCTCATGGGATAGTGCGAGAGTGATACTTCCTATGCTTGTCAGGAACCTTATCATCACTCCCTTTATGGTGTAGTCATTCTCAAGTCCTAAACACATGTGTTTTGAGCTCCCATAGCTTGAGAACTGGTTGTTGTTATTATTCAAAGCTGAGGACTGGAGTTAAAAGTCTGAAAAATACAGGCAACTCTCACACTTTCCTTGAGAATTTATCAGCCTTGATTCAAAACATTCTGGGACTCACACAACACAAGGGAGCTCTGCTCACTCAGACTTCCCTCCCCATTACAGCAGCTCCATCTCTGGAAGAGCTGGAGAAATATAACACTGTGAACAGGACAAGACACATACGAAACACAAGAAAAATTTTAATTAGCTATTGCAGAACATCCTGAAGAGGAAAATATTGCAGCTTATTTTTTCACAGGGCACTTCATATTTAGGCATCAGCAATCATTACTGGAGAAGGGGGAGGCAGATGTGGAAAGAGAGACACTGAAATATGTTCTTTTTATTTTGTTTTATAGAAAAATCTCATTGCCAAAGCTGGTGCTTCCTCCAGGCAGGGACACCAACAAAGGAATCCCTGGGCTTTCATACTCTTCTATCCTAAATCTCCCACCCCTTGCACAACAGTTCTGTGGGGGAGAAGCCACCCACACCCAGCCAGTGCTGGAAGGCCCATGACCTTTGTTAGGCACAAGATCAGCACCCATTCAAGGCTCCTTACCTGGGGCTCCAGCAATTTCCCACTATCCAGAGCAGAATTTGCAGCTCAAACACCGAGCTACATATTCCTCAACTTGGGGAGAGAGTCTTTCCCAGGCTGCTTAACCAGCAGCCCAAGTTGCAGGGGAAGGAAGGGTGATGAAATGCTACAGAGAACCTTTTCACCCCAGAAATCCAAGTAGCTCTTTGCAGAATACTGTTGCTAGGCAACCCAAAGTACGAGAAAAAACAAAAATATTTATTTTTATACAACTTCACAGAAAATAAGTTAAAATCCTAACTACATTGGGTCTTCAGGACAGGAGGAAATTGCTTCCCAAGCTCTCAGAGCTCATTCCTGCCTCCTCAGCGGGTAAAGAGCAGCACCAGCTCACAATGAACAGTGTGAGGAAACAAATCAAAAGGAATAGCCAACACAGGGGCAAATGGCTCCCCTGCCAGCTTCTTCCGTGGGTCAGGTGGGCAGCACAGCCTGTGGAAAGCAAAGAGCATCCTTTAGACCTGTAGCAGAAGCCTTCCCACCACTGGTATCACAATCCAAGGGGGATCCACAAAGGAGGTATCATGTGTTTGACTAACATTCCTCAGAGTCTGAAGCTGACACTGCCTGAGGTGCAGAACCATCAATATTGAATCCCAAACCAGCTCTGAAAACCTCAGGGACAAGCTGAACAGTGAACAGTCAGTGGCAAGTTTAAAGCTCCTTTCCTCAGAAGCCATCCCAGCTGAAAGACACTCTGTTTTCAGTTTTGGACTGCCCTTATGGCTGCCTGCAGACAGATTTATCACCTGGGTCTACCCCAGCTAAAGGCTGACCACATAAAGCTACATGATTAACCCCTAAGCAGGTGACAAATCCCCTTGGCTCCACTTTCTTGGCGAGGGGCCAACCTTCCTGCAGTGAACCCGATGGACTCTGTGTCTCACATCCAGATGTCATTGTGCCATGTTTGAATTATTTTCTATTCCTCACTGATGCCTTGTCTGGACTTAATAGGGTCTGCAACTGAGATCAACAGAAAGGAGGAGAGTGCTCACTCAAGGAAGTTCCTCATGGCTTCACCCTCTGGCTTGCAGGAGATGTAGAGCAGCCTGCGGATGGACCTGCAGTTCCGGATGGCTCGTACAACCCTGTAATCTGAAAAAACAGACAGCCTGCTTTCCCACCACCACCCTGAGCTCTCCAGAAGTAATGACTGAACAGCATCACAGAATTGTCAAAAATACAGATGCATATTTTGCCATGTTCTGTCTTGGGGTCTCTCAGGAGACCACAGGTGTGACCCACACTCCTGACAGCTCAGACAATTTGGCAGGCAGGGAGCCAATGAGAGAAGCCAATTGCAGAGAGCAATGGGAGAAGTCCCTCTGCTTCCCAGGGAGATGGAGGATGAGAGAAAAAATGTTACTCAATTAAGCAAGGGCATATAAAACCTTCCACACACACTTGTGAGAGTGCATCTGGGTACCAGGACCAGTGAGTTCCCAGTATACACTCCAGGGAAGACCACTAAGACAATTTGAGGGCTGGGGAAAAGAATGTAAGCAAGGATCCATTTGCTATCTTCAGGGATGTCATGGGGGATTACAGATAACTGAGAACCTTCTCAGAGGGGCATGAGAAGAGGATGAGAAGAATTAGATGTATGGCAGCAAGGGAAAATTATGATTAAAAATATTAGGGAAAACATTTTCAGGAGAGGAGATACACCCCTGGACACATTCAAACCTCAGCTAGGCTTTATATCCCTATGCAACTTTATAAAACTCTGAAGTTTGCCTTGCTATAGTTGGGAGATTGCAGCACCAACCTCCAGAGGTCCCTTCTCTCTTAAATAATTGTGTGAGCCTTTGTGAAATTGTGTGAAAGATGGAAAAAAGATTAGAGCTAAAGAGAAAGCACAATGAAGGTGCTGAAAACAGCAGACTTTATGGGACTTTAGCTGCTGTCAGTGACAAGAAATGAGAGACTAAGCAAAGAAAGGGTTTGGAGCCAGTATAACAGGTCTCACAGAACTTGTTCAGAACTCTCTGTTTACAAGATGAAAATAAATAGCATTTTCTCTCACGTAGGCCAGCCCGAGAAGGGTTCACCACAGCAACAAGCGGTCGGGCATCCTCCCACGATGCCAAGAGCTGTGGTAACACAGCCTCTGCCTTTCCACTGTGAAACTCACAGTTTGAGATCCCTGTGAAACAAAAAAGCAACCACATGAACTGAATCTCACCAAGAGTTAGGTGTAACATGAACCACCCTGTGCTGTGTGAAGGTAACTGGTGAGGGTCCCTCTGCTCACTTCTACTCCAATTTCTCAGCATTTAGTTTGAAACTTTTTGCCACAGCGAGTTTGAACTCACCATTGAATGCTGCATTCCACTGAGCATCCTCTATTGCCTTCTCCACCACCTCAACACCAATAACCTTGGACACCTGGTGAGCCAGAGAGAGACCAATTGTGCCTAGAAACACAGGAAACAAAAATACTCCATACAGTCATGCTGAAGAAACAGGCCTTTACATAGTGATGATCAGCTCTGGAATGCAAAGCTCTGGGAGCCCAGGAACTCACCTGTTCCACAGCAGATATCAAGGAGAACAGTGTCCCCTGTAGCCTGGCAGAGCTCCCCAACTGCCTGGTACAGAACTTCTGCTCCAGCTGTGTTGACTTGGAAAAAGGCATCTGGAGAGATGCGAAACTTCAGGCCGAGCAGTTCTTCGAAGATGTGCGGTGCTCCATGGAGGAGCTGGTAGGGGGACTGCTCGTGAGAGCAGCGTGTCATGGTGCTGGCAGATCACACAAAAAACAGCTGTTAGAAGGCAGCAGAGAGGAGCTGGTTTCCATTCCCAGGGTGCTCATGGGCAGCAAAAGATGGTTCTTCCCCCCAGCGACTTATATTTCATATGAGCCTTTCAACAAGATTAAAGCATTTTGATTCTTTGAAAGAGATCTGTGACTTGCACAGCCTAAATTTCATTAAAAGGATCAAAATGACTTAGCAGAAGGCAGCATTCCTCGGGCCTATTCCCCAGTTTTGCTGCTAATGTGATTTACTGTCTTGGGATAGAAACTGGAAGTTTCTTCTATAAGTTTCCCAGACTCATAATTCCCATGAGGTAGAGCCATAGTGTGTTCAAATAAGTCTGGAAAAATAAAAGATGGGATCATCTTAAAGACACATCTCTAAGAGGGATCCAAACATCTGTCATTCTCTTCCAGCACTCCCTGAACTGGTGGGATTTGAATTTGGTCAGAAAGGGGGTAGAAGAAGGAGGTAGCTGTGTTTCCTTGTCAAGGCATTTACCTCTCTTGGAAATAAAGTGAAGTCAAGGCACAGACTGCTCCAGGCCCACATGTGAAGAACTCCTTCAGCAATGCTTTCTGAGTAGCCAGTGCCTCCTGTCAAGAGTAAGAAAGGAAAAGCTGCCTCTTTGGGTAACCTGATTAGAGCTCTCTCCCCAGCAACACACCCAGCAGGCTCAGCTCAGCCAGGTACCTGCTGTGCCTCTTGCCCTGTCCTCCATGTGCTCACCTGGCCCAGCTGCTGGGGGTGGAAGGTGATGATAGCCATGGTGTGGCCACAGCTGGTGGTACGAACCACGAGCTCTCGCCAGTGTCCGCCTTCATGGAAGAGGATGCAGGAATCCAGGGGGGAGCGAGAGATGAACTCCTCATAGCACTGAGGGGAGGGGAAATGGCACCTTTAGTACCATGAAGACAGCTGCCCTGCTCTTAACCCCCCAGACAGGCAGCCCTTCCACCACTCTGGTCTGCTTCTTCTGCTTGATTTCCATACATTGGGTGAAAGCTCCTTCCAGGCTCTTGAAAGACAACATATTTTAATAATTCTAATTTGCAATTCTTATGTGTTTTAATAGATTGGCAGGAATTCATTGTCACTTGATTAACTTCATTACTTGGGACACTTTATGGGCTGCAATATTAACATGTGAGTTTTTATAAAAGTATTTATCCACCAACTAGAATGAAAATTTTCAGAACATGAAAATGGACTTGAAAACACAGTATAATAAAAATTACAGTGTTCTCCCAAGTAAGAGTTATTGCAGTCTCTCCATTCCACAGCAAATGGACAGACATGACTTATTTATTTACCTGGGCTACTTGTTTGTGTTTTGAAGGTATGTTCTCCACGTGATTTGCTTTCACACAGACAATATTTCTTCCTGTAGAGAGATGGCCGGGTATTTAATTGCTCTGGTTCAGGGCATGTAAAGCACTGTAGCATCTGACATGGCAAACTGTGGAGAGACCTTTCACAGCTCATGCCAGCAATTTTCTATGAGTTCCTTGTCCTGCACTGACCTCTGCCAGTTCCTACATACAACCCAACAGTTTTGGGGTTCCCATTTGGTCCTCGGTTCACAGAGAAAGTCGATTTGTTTCGGTAGCCATTAATGATGGGCTGAGGGAGAAAAGAAGGAAAAGCAAAGCCTTGGATTAAAAGAAAAAACAAGGGAGGAAAGCCAAACCCCAGCCTGGTTATTGTGTTGCCAACATGGGAAGGTGTACGTGAATGGGCAAAACACAGAAACAAAATTTGTGCACAAGAACCCCAGTACTGCCCCTTGGAGACAAAAGTAGCTCTCTGTGACAGAATGGTGACAGGTTTAACAGGGAGGCCTTTTAGGCACAAAGAAAGGGTTCCTAAGCACTGGGCTTATTTCACTCTCGGGCAGTCACAAGCTGCAAAGCACAAGGTAGCAAGGACTGACTCAGACACTCTCTGCAGGCAAATGATGCCCCCCATGAGACTCTTGAGCTGCTGAGTGAGAGACTGTTCGTGGCTCAGAGGGAAGAGCACTCCCATGGCACACTCACCGAAGGGACTACAGGCTGCAGAGGACAGCAGAGCCCACCAGGTTTCTGTGCATCTATGCCCAGCTCCTCAAGACGAGATGCCAATGTCTGCAAAATCTTCCTCTGGCTTTCATACTTGACCTGCAGAGGAGTTCTGAGGCAGAAACACTCTCATGGGACCACACAGTGGTGGGCAGCTCTTCATCACCCACCTCTGGGGAGTCCAACAGGAGGAAAAACTGCAAGTGAAAATATAGCCCCAGAGGAACTCTTCCCTTTTCACTACCACAGCTGCTTGGAGAAACAGGAAGAAAGAAAAATCGTGTCTGTGGTCCCCAAATACTGGCCTACAACATTTTGTCTAACCTGAAGCCCCAGTGAAGCAGAGCAGTCCCACAGAGGCCAGGATCACTGTGCAAATGCCCATCCTCTGTACTACAAGGAACCTCCCAGTTCTATCCTTCACAACAACAGGATTAAAACAGCAGTAAATGGGGTCTGAACAGTTTGCAGCATTATGCTGCTAAGGGCTACTGTTCAAGGGGATAGGAGGGACAGCTGGGGCAACACAACAGAGAAAAATCTGTGCAAACTCATCTTACCTGCAGCTGCTCCTGGTAGGGAAGTCTCCACAGTGGTGTCACTGCATTTGCTAACCTGGAAAGCAGAACAGTAAGGCAGTGCCCAGAGCTACTCGACTCCTGACTCCTATGGCATAACATCCCTGTCAGCTACTTCATGGGCAGGACTGTTCTCGTGTGGGCTCTGCACCAGGGCTGGCTGTGAACACCCAGACTCCCAGGGAACCACAGTGAAATGCAGTTTGTGTGCAGCAGGAGGGAATTGCAAGCTGCCCATTCTCACTGACCCAGCCACCCACACAGAAGTAGTTTAGAGATAAACCTCAGAACTTGCCACTACTCATATGAAAAGCAAAACAAGCAAGAATAAAACATATAAAAGCTGGTTTTTAAAAAAATTACATATATATATATATATATATATGTGTGTGTGTGTGTGTGTGTGTGTGTGTATACAAATACCCTAAAAAGAGTCCTCAAAAAAGAGGTGAGGCTGATATGATTCAAGCACTCATAAATGACTCTCTGCAACCATGGGGAACAGCACCCCACAGCTGGATAAGTTGCAGCTATTGCCTACCTAGGGTTTTTGGAGCTGCTTCCAAAGCACCCAGTGCCAACTACCCCGAGGTCCAGGACTGCAAATAGACTATCACTTTTTGCTTGTCAATATGGCAATTATTATCTGCTCCTTTTCTCTCAGAACATTGTATTTGTTTTCTCCACTATCCCCTCCCCAGGCCAGACTCCAGGCAAACGAGCCCTGGATCTTCTGTTCGTACGGGGTGGAAGTAAACCCCCAACACACCACGTCCCCAGCTTTAGGTGTTTGCTGCTTTGAAAGAATGCTCGATCATTTTGGAGAAGCCATACCTCTCCTCCCAGGAAGGCTCTGGCAGGCTGCAGCTCACCCCGGCCTTTCTCTTCCCTCGGCACGTTGCTGCTGTGGCTGTCCGCAGGCCGCGGGGCGGAGCGGGCAGGCCGAGCGGGGAGAGCGGCGGAGGGCGGAGGTGGCAGCGCGGTGGCCGCAGCACGCAGGACAGAGCCATGGCGGGCATGTCACTGCGGGCAGCCGAACAGCGGCACGGGCTGGAGAGCCGGCCCCGCTCCGGGCAGTGACAGGGACCCGCTCCAGCAGCGGCACCGGCGGCCGGCGGGGAGCGGAAGGGGCGCGGGGAGAGCCCGGGGAACTCCCCGTGGCGGATTGCCGGCGGAGCTGGGGAGGGCTGAGCTTTCACCCCGAGCCGGTCGGACACGGCCAGCAAAGTGTCACGGCAAATGCGTGGCCGCGCTGAGCTGGTCTGGGACAGACTGGAAGCTCAGTGCCACCTGCCACCGAGCCTGTCCGATGGGACACTCGGGACAGCGGAGAGAGCAGGAGGGAAGGCTGGCTGCCGTGTCACCTCGCAGGATGGGTACATGTGGACAGGAGGGCAAGAACAGCCTTTCCCAGCCAGCCCAGGCTGTGCCTCCAGCAGATGCTGAAGGAAAAGCGGGGATCACACAAGCACACGTGGCCACATGCTCACTTATCTCCCTCGGGCACCAATTAATCTCTGCGTTGGGGATTCCCCGAGTCAGGCATCGTTTATCTACTTAGGGACCCCAAGAGTTCTCTTGCCCACTAGTTTACCTCCACAACTCCCTGAAAGGTGGTTGCAGTCAGGTGGGATTTGGTCTCTTTATCCAGGCAGAAACTGACAGAACGAGAGGACACAGTCTTAAGCTGCGCCAAGGGAAATAGAGGTCTGTAGGAGACGCTTTCTGGGGACGGTCTGAGACACGGCCTCTATAATTAACCTCTATAAAAGACCTCTATAATCGAGTTAGGTGTTAGAAGTTTATTTCAGGGCGTGGGATAGACAGAGAGAAAGGGAGCCTGCAATGAGCTAGCAGATAGAGCTCAAAGTGGGCTCAGAGAGAACAATACAAAAGAGGGTAAAATATGAATACATGAGCTCAAGACTTAATATTGCTAAGAAAGTAACAGAACGGAAGTGAGAGAGCCGGGGAAAAAAGGGAGAGAGACCAAGAGAGCTAAAACAGCCAAGAGAGACTAAGAGAGCAAAGAGATAAGAGAACTAAGAGGACTATAAGAGCGTTAAGAGAGACCAAGAAAAGCAAGAGTTAAGAGTTAAGAGAGACCAAGAGAGCAAACTCTCTTTTACAATTACTTATATAACCTATACATTTGAATATTCTATTCCTTTACTAACCAATCTTTCTAAGTATACTAATACAGTAACATTTGTGTGCAACCTATAGAAATCGCTGGTTTTGCATATTTTTGGTTATCTCAGGGTCCTTCAGAGCTTTCCTTATAAGGTTGGGATGAGGGGTCTCAGCTTGGTTTTATTACAGGAAAGAATGTGTTCTGGCATACCAGCCCAGTTTCTTTGAATTATTCAAACCGTGCTATCATTTGTATTTCTTCCTTAGCCTTTCTGGCTAAAGAGTCATATTTATAATTTCTTTCTAATTCTACCTTCCCAACAGAGGTTGGATATTAGGAAAAAGTTTTTTTATAGAAAGAGTGATAAAGTACCGGAATTGACTGCCCGGGGAGGTGGTGGAGTCACCATCGCTGGATGTGTTTAAAAAAATATTGGATGGGGCACTCGATGCCATGGTTTAGTTGAGGTGTTAGGACATGGATTGGACTCGATAATCTTGAATGCCTCTTCCAACCAAGTGATTCTGTGATTCTGTGATACCTGCCACCCTTCCATGTCACCTAAAATTCCTGCAGCCACGCATCCCTTGGCCAGGAGGCTCACTCACCCACCTTCTACCATTTGGGTGAATTGTTCCTGTGTGAACCTGGCTGCTGCTGTTTCCCCCAAGAGCTCCAAGCTTGGCAGTCTCCCCGCCCGGTCTCGGTCCCGGTCGCGGTTCCAGTCGTCGTTTCGTCCCGTCTTGTCCCGGTGAGGCCGGAGCAGGGGCAGGAGCGGAGATCCTCCACGCCGTAAGGGGGCGCTACACTGCTCAGGCCCGCTGCGTGCCTGGGGCGGTGCTCGCGGCGTTTAACCGCGCTCTGTGGGCGGGGCCTGTGCTGCGTGGCCACGCCCATCGTGGGTGGTGACAGCTGGGACGCGCCGTCTGCAGTAGCCGCGCCTTCGCCACGCCCCACTGCTCACGAGACGCCGGCGCGAGCGCTG